GTGCTTAAAATGTTCGGTTTCATTCGCGGAAAAATTATAACGTCATCAACGTAGACGTAACATATTTTGCCAACTTCTTTCCGCAGCACAACATCGATGACTCCTTGGAAAATACTACCTGCGTTTTTAGGCCGAAAGTTAGTCAGCAAAATTCGTACTTCCCTCCATTAACTGAGAACGAGGTTTTTTCTCGGTCTTTTTCAGCCAGGTATATTGGATGATACCCTGACTTAAAGTCTAGGGTAGTAAAGAATTTGGCTTTCCCCAAGATCGCTAGAAAAGCGATCGGCGATTGTTCGCTCATTCAGCTTCCTGAAGTCGATTACTAATCGCTTCTTTCTGATGCAATCATCGTCAGTCCCTTTTTGGTCAACCACCCAAGTAGGGCTGTTGTATGGGTTCTGGACGGCCTAATTATACCATTCTTCAGCAGTTCCTGGATTTCTTTGTTAACAAAGTATGCTGCCCCCATAGGATAGGGGTATAGTTTGGAGTAGACGGGTTCGTCACTTATAGTTCGAATAGGATCGATGACCGAGGTGTTAAAGGTAATTACCTCTTTAGAGGTCGAAAACACCTTAATTTTTTTTTTAAAATAAAATAAGGAGGTCATTAAGTTCGGCATTGTCACTGTCTTCCTCAATATTGGCAACTTCAGCCTCAGCTGTGGTGCCTCCTCCTGTTGGGGTTGGGCTATATTATTAACGCGATGGCGTCAGTGGCCCGATTGTCGCTGAGACCGAGTTCTGCCTTTTGTAATTTGTACGAATTCAAATGAATTCAGAATGCTGAAATATATTTTTTGCGTGCTGCAAGTACAATGCCAGTGGCAATAGTCGCCGCAATAAGTACAATACCAATTGGGCTGCGGAAAAGTGAATACGTCAAGCGATCTTTTCATACTGATTTTATTGAGCATAACTTGGGGTTTATATACATGTTCTTGGGTCAAAAAGGGTGTTTACATAGGTCTATTCTAGTTTACAATTGTCAGTTACATGGTTTATCCTAATCAAACAATACAATTTAGATAACGATATCGTAGGTAAAATAGTCTCAAATATTCTGCATGCAGATGGTGTGAAAACGTGACCGATCGTGGGTTATCTTTTATGATGGGTCAGAATTGACACACATGTGGACACAGGCATACGTGGTCCTGTATTGATTTAGGTAGGCCGATATCACTAATGACCCTTGTCTATTTAACCCATAAATATTAATCCAGCTGCGAACAATTTTCTTCTTGGCGAAAATCGTACATAATTGTTATTACTCTGTGGATTTCCCCAGCTTGTTTCCTGCCTGAATTTGGGCGTCAAGGGGTCTACCTCCATGGGTTGAACTTTATTCTGTTTTCATGTTCCCTGCGCTTTTTCCTCATGAGGCTTGCCTTGGCCCTACTTTGTGATAAAGTGCGGATTTTTATCCTCAACTCTTCATTGACCCTTACTGTTGCCCTCATTAAAAGGGGAATTGTCTTCAGTGGATTTTGCATAAGATTCCGCGAACGTTCTTCTTTCAATGCTGTTCTCAGTCTCCGGCGCTAGCGCTAGTGCGGACGGAGGGTCTTTGGGTTGTGCTGGCAGCACGAGTGGCTTGAGCCCTGCAATGAATGCATAAAGGGCGTCGGCCCTAACCTTCTGATTCAGGATGGTTGCCGTGTCCGTATTACGTGAGTTTCCTCTCGACCTCGTCATAGTAAGGTTTTTGCCGAACCATTTCCAAATTCTGACGTAGCAGAACGGGACGTTTTGTCCGCGTATGTGCAAAGGCGCTTCTTAAACGCTCTTCCTACGCGGCAAGTGCGCTGCCGACAGCATTTGCGACAATCGCTTCGACCATTTTCGCGTTCATCTCTGGTTGGTCTATGCTCCTTACTACAGGGCAGAGTCCTACTTCTTCGCTGCCGTTGCTATCAATTTCTTGCTTTACTTCCCTATACTCCCAGCTCATTGGCAGCTAAAGAGAGCTGAGTAAGTTAACGGCAGATATACTGGACAAATGCGAAGTATTGAACGATTGGGACACAATATTATTTGTTTTGATGGGTCCAATTTTCTGCAATATCGACACAGGCACCGTGGCCAAAACCGCAAAAATAAGAGAAACAGGTCGAGGTGATTTTTTCGCGCTAATATTATAGTGTCACCTAAAACACAAAAATGTTGGTTTCATTTATCCCAAGAACAAATTCAAAGAACAAATTTACGAAACGATCAAGGAGTGAGACGACAGATATTGGTCAATTCGACTATTAATACAGATACACTGGATTACTTCGGTACAAAATTCAATATAAGCACAGGCACAGTGGTTCAACTTGTAAAAAAGAACAAGAAAAAAAGCAAGTGGCAACCTTTGCATGTGTATTAAAACCCACACTAAGCACATAAAATACTTTGTGATTTATTTATTTATTTAAAACTGCTAATCCAAGTGTGCGTAAATTGAGTTACTTGACTTTATTTGTTTGTCACGCACTCAATAAAGTCAAAAATCAGAAATCGAAAACCGAGTTTCTTTTAATATTTAAATAAAATTCCTATTGCTGGACAAAGGAAACTGTATGCACTTGAGGCACTGGTAATTGTGTGTTAAGTTATGTGTAGACCTTTAGCTATCGTTGGCGTTCAGTTACTTACATATTATATTACTTCAGGGGTGAAGTTCGAATATTAATATTGTTACGGTCCTGGTTTTTCGACGGCGCAAGTCCGACTAGCCAGTCCATCTCATGGTGGGGTTCTTTCCAGCCCTCAGTCCGCACAATAGCCCAGCAGATCGGCCATCTCAGTCCGACAACATCATAACAAGACCTAATGTAAACAAAATAAAATGCAAGCAAAAATAAAATGAATGTTACACATTGGACGTTACTGGAAACTTTACTTGCGCTGAACAATTTGGAGTTTAGGTGATAAGATCTGGCATGCATCCTTCGCCAAATCTCCCTTCCGCTGGCTACCGTCAGCCTACTCCAGGGTCAGTCTAATTTACCCCTCCCCATAGACAAACACTTAGCACATCATACTCACGTTACAATTTTATTATTACCTATAAACATTCATTTGCATTTCTTGCATTCAATAACTTCAGTTTATTTTCATTTATTTGCTTCTCCTTGCTACAGCTGCGATGCCAAATTTATACGAAAACACTTCCTTTTAAATTGATTTCATTTTTATTACACGGTTGTTGACCCGCATACGAACATATAAATATTGATTAATTCATAACTATACAATTAAGTTGCTCTACCTATTTGGAGCTCCAACCAGGGCTTTAATATTGAGATCTTTTTATTCGAGATTTGTAAAGTTATTTATATAAGATCTTTATTTTTTTTCTACATTCGCATATAGTTGTGTATGTTATTTACTTTAATCGTTATTTTACATCCCAACTGTTGCGAGACCGCCGAAAATTTACATAAGGTTTTGGTTTGTTTATGTAAATGTATAATCTTTTCTTTGTTTCCCCAAATCTTAATTATATCAATTTTTTCCTTTACTTACAGGTACTACTTATAATATTTAGAAATGGTATATATAGAGATATGGTAACAAACAATTGATGATATATGCATGTGGGATAGATAAGTTAAAAGGTGACTAAATATTTCAATACATCAACACATAAATTTAGACTAAGGTGGACGAACGAATTTTATTTCAATTATTCGGGACGAAATTTTATATAATATTAAGAGGGAATTTAATTTAATTTCATTTACTTAAAAACTATTTTTAAGTCTTTCATTAATGCTGCGTTCATAAATTAATATAGGTCCAATCTACATTCTGTAGAGTAATAATTTTTTATATTCCACAAGAAAAAAATAAAAAAAAATCCAGTGCCAGTGTGGTGTATATGATTAAAGGAATAAATCTTTCTGCAGTGGTCCGACCCGGAGCCTTTGGCACGTGGTCCAGTATTGTATAATTTATCTTTATTTATTTATTTATTTCGCCAACGGTGACCCTAACCGGAAAATGTTAGATTTATTATCCCAGTATTGTATAATTTATTTTATTTATTTATTTATTTCGCCAACGGTGACCCTAACCGGAAAATATTAGATTTATTTTCCTTTTTTTTTTAATATTAATTTTTTCTCCTTGGAACGGACTTACTTTTTCGTTGACGGTGCTTTCTTTTCCCGGTCCCGGCTGCCGATTTCCCGTTTACGTCGTCCGAACTCGTCCCGTCTTCACTTCCTGAAGATGCATATTATTTTATTCTCGATACTACACTTTAGACTGATGGCCACCCCCCATCATCAAACTCACTTTTAATTTTATATTTTATTTTTCACTATAAATTTTCCGGACCACTTGCTGCAGTAAAATTTTTTGGAACTCGTGGTGGCCTCGTCTCCTCCAGCCCTATATATACCCTCTGCCTCAGCACCAGCATCACCCGATTTTTTTCCCTGATCCATTTCTGGGTTTTTCGCCAACGGCAGAAACCTCTTTCATCTGCATCACGTAGCCGCTTGGCTCTCATTCAGCTATCAGTTCCTCATGGTTTGTTGTGGGTGGAGATACTTTTGGCCCAGGGGAGGTGTTGGAAACTAAGAGCGGATTAAAGTTCTCTTTCCTGATCGTCCACCAGAGCGCCTCTTACTTTCCACACTTCCCCTCCCTTTCTTGACCCTGCCAAACTTTGAAAAACTGGTCACACTGCCATCTCCTAGGGCGATTTTCCCCTATCGATAGTTTTCAATTGCAACACCACACAAAAATTCTTGAGAATGCCGGCCGAAGCGAATTATTTGTAAACATTGAAAGATTGACTTGCCGTGAAATTGTGCCTATAGTGTTTTTAATAATCAAAACAACAACTTTGCTATCCTGCCTTGCCCCCAATTGCCCCATTTAGCCTTTTGTGCCCAACGTAGGCCTACACCCAGTAGACTCTTGTTTTGCTACCCAGGTATGTATGTAAGTTACGTGTGTACGTCTACAGCTACATCCACTATTTATTTTTACATTTTTAGGTCTTTTGCGTGGAAAATCCCAACAGGCTTCCCCCCCAGATCCTCCAAATCGTAGGCATTGTTCCCTATAGGGAGACCGACTCGGCATTTCACATATTTTCGAGCAAACTTGGCATTGTACATCTTTCCAAAATTGCTCTGAGTGAAATTGCGTCTGTAGTTTTCTTGGCCTTGGCATGGAAAACTCGAGCCCGTTTGTTATAGCGCTGGTTGCTGTATTCATATGCCTGATGAAGATTTTTCCGGATGTGATCGCGGATAAGTTGGCGCTTATCTACTGGATCTAGCTTCGTTATTTGATGTTCTGTCAAGGACTGCAGTTTTCTTGCCAGTCGACAATCGACACTTCTATTTCCGGTAAGTATAAGTCCCAGTCTCTATGATCATATTCTAAATACGTTCTAATTGCAGTTTTGATTCCTTGCATTTGGTGCAATTCCGGACATACTCCCGCACTTGTGTCGTCATAGCCGGCCAGTAGAAATGACGTTTTAGACGATGAAGTGTCTTTTTCATCCCCCCGTGTGCAGCTTTGTGATCCTCGTGCGCGTTCGCTGTAAGTGTAGATGTTATTCCTGTCGGGATCCACAGCTTCCAAATTGAGCCTTCAACTTGGTCGTCAAGATGTTCGAATGCTGTTCTTTTGAAGATTAAAGCCCCATCCACGCGTAAATCAGGCAATGTTGCATCTGATAAATCCAAACTTAACTCCGCTATGCAGCGTGACAGGGTGTCAGCAACCACGTTCTCAGTTTCCTTGCGATGCTCAATTTTAAAGTTAAAACTCTGAAGCCTAGATCCTTGAGGGACATTAGCCATTTTAGGCTTGCGTGGTCCGTGATCACAAAAAACGGCATCAGTTCCACGTAAGGCCTAAACTTTTCAACTACTAACATCGCTCCCAGACATTCTTTTTCAGTGACGGAATACAAAATCTGATGTTTATACTATTAAGCTTGGAAGAGAAGAAAGCTACGGGACGCTCTGAATTTTCGTCGTCCAACTGGAACAATACTGCTCCCACTCCATTGTTAGAGGCGTAGCATTGGATAAAGAATGGACGTTTAAAATCAGCATGGACTAATATTGGCGCTGTAGTTAGCGCCATCTTCAAGTGCTTTATGGCCCAGACAGCCTCCGGAGTCAAGGAAAACTTGCCTCTTGGATGTTTCTTGAGGACGTCGGTTAGCGGTGCTGCAATGGATGCAAAGTTTTTAATGAATCGCCTGTGTCACCCTGCTGTACCTAGGAAGCTTCGTATCTCCTTTACGTTCTTCGGATCAGGATTCTTCTGTATGGCCAACACTCTTTCTAGATCCATTTGCAGCTTTCCACCCCAATGATAAACTCAAAGTATTTTAAAGATTTGACTTCTTTAGCCCTATCGTTAAATTTGTATCAGGCATTGTGCTGACAAACGGAGAAATCGCAGATGCGTCTGGAGGCCAGGAGCTATCACCAGAAGATCGTCCAGATAGACAAATACGTTTGATCGTAGTTGTGTTGGAATGACTTGGTCCATCAGTCGACATAATCTTTGGGCAGCATTGCAGAGACCGAAGGGCATCATCACGAATTGGTAAAGTGGACGTCCGGCTACTGTGAAAGCGGTATACTTCCGGCTTTCCGGTTCCAATTTTATTTGCCAGAACGCAAAATTTAAGATCGACGCTAGATATATAATATGTCTGGTCGATCCTAGACAATATGCCTTCGATACTCGGGAGAGGGTAGGCGTCCTTTATGGTGAGTTGGTTAAGTTTCCGCGCGTCCAAGCAGAGTCGGTTTTTATCTGGCTTTCGCACGACCGTTATTCTACTGCTCCACAGACTGTCACTAACCTCTATAACCTCTAGCTCTAGCATTTTGTCTACTTCTTTCCAGACCACTTCCTGCATCGCTGGTGATAGCGGATAACAACGATCCTTAAACGGTACTGCGCCCCCCACCAACTGGATATAGTGCTGTTCTGCTGCAGTCGTTCCTAGCCCAGCTTCTTCGTAAGTCAAAAATTCCTTCTTCACGTTTTCCAACTTCTCAGCTTCATTCTTTTTCAGGTCCCAAGTTCTACCTCCGTTTCTTGTCTTCTATCTTCCGCATAGTGGCTGATCTCGGACATCTTGACTTCAGCTACTTGGGCGTGACTGGATTCGCTGTTTTCGTCGCCTAGAACTGCTGGAGCCAACTCAAAAATCTCCAGATATCGATACCCAAGTACATCGATTGTTCCAGGTACGGGCATATGTAGAAGTGAATGTCTTCTACAATCCCCTTGTATCCAACAGGAAGCTATATTTTACCAATTATAGATCTGTCTTCGCGACGAACACATATCCTTCCATCTCTACCCCGAGTTCGGCCATCAGTTCCCTACTGTCTTCGCCCAGTAGACTTACAGAGGCTCCTGTATCCAGCAGTCCCGCAATCTTCCGGCCGTTCTCGTTCCACGTTGGACTGATTCGCCACCTACTTGCGCGTTTGTCGCCTTAGAGCGTGAACGGGTCTTTAGAACCCTGCGGCTGACTCCCCGCATACCTGCAAGCTGTCTGGCGTCGAAAATCCTGTTTCCGACTTCCCTATATCTTTTCATTCTTTCCTCGGCTGGTAGAAACCTTAACTTATTAATACCTAATATATTTTGTTTATTAATAATATGTTGATCATTTACTTCAAGCTTATCATCTACTTCGATTCAGGTTTCTAGCCTAAGCGTTGCTCACCTGATTTCGTCACGCTTGGTCGGCTTTCATGGGTTGGGTACGTTCAATGGCCCCATTGCCTCGGTAACGGCAATAATCATTTCCATATCGCCGGATTTCCTCTTGCAAAGATCGGCTTATGGACTCCATCATTCCTCCTCGTTGCGTCTCCTGAGCCTTGGCTAAGGCCACATTGACAGGCGATGTGATTTCTGATGGCAGGACTTTCGATGCTACTGGCAAATTCCAGCTGTCATCGTCTCCCTCTTGTTGCTCTTTCCGAGGATTCCCTGGCGGAGGAGTCCTGCTTACCATTTTCCCCTTTGACCTTAAAAAATACTTGCTCATAAGCTTTTTCTAATCTATCTCTACTTAGATGTTTTATTAATATTTATCTTTTGATTTTTATAGTTTTGAACCGGCTGCGCATCAACAATACACAATGACACCTCGAACAAAAATAACTACAATTAAACTACAACAGGGAAGGAAAAACTCAACCTGGAGCCAACTTAACCCCCGGATTTCAGTGCCTTCAATTACCAGCACAAGTTTCTCGGTGAGCGCTGTTGACCATCCCATCTTCCATAGAAAACTAAGAGTCAAGGGCGCTCGCCACTCTATTATCTGTACTTCCCACTTACTTACATCACTGTATGATTTTTCTAGGAGTGACGAACCGCCCTAAGTGCAACGCGTGGCCGACTTTTCTGGTTCCCACGGGCCACTCACAGTCGAATCCCCACATCCTGACCTCATCACGGGTAAGTAAGACAAGTTTTCCCTATTTTGGCTATATCTGACTCCGGCTATTACTGTGCTCTATTTTCCAGGCGCTCGGTGTGTGCTCTAGCACACCAGGCATCGGTATAGTCGCTAACTAGCCGAAGAAATTTTTCCTGCTAGTGCCGAACCACCCTTACCGAGCTCCCATTTCCGTTTGTCAGATAAGTACCAATCTCTTTAAACAAAAAAAATCTAACACTTACTTTAGGGTATCTTTGCTTCCAGATCCCCCCGGCACCGCGTTACTATGAGCCGACCATCAGGTAATGATAATGTTACACATTGGACGTTACTGGAAACCTTACTTGCGCTGGACAAATTGGAGTTTATGTGATGTACTCCGACACCCCCACCATACCTGAGATCTGGCATGCATCCTTCACCAAATCTCCCGTCAGCCTACTCCAGGGTCAGTCTCATTTCCCCCTCCCCATAGACACACACTTAGCACAGGGTATTCCTCACGTTACAATTTTATTATTAACTATAAACATTCATCTTCATTTCTTGCATTCAATAACTTCAGTTAATTTATTATTTAATTTTTCATAAGGTTTTGTTTTGTTTATGTAAATGTATTTTTTTCTTTGTTTCCCTAAATTTTAATTATATCAAATTTTTTCCTTTACTTACAGGTACTACTTATAATATTTTGAAAAGGTATATATAGATATATGGTAATAAACAATGTATGATACATGCATGTGGGATAGATAAGTTAAAAGGTGACTAAATATTTCAATACATCAACACATAAATTTAGACTAAGGTGGACGAACGAATTTTATTTCAATTACTCGGGACGAAATTTTATATAATATTAAGAGGGAATTTAATTTAATTTCATTTACTTAAAAACTATTTTTAAGTCTTTCATTAATGCTGCGTTCATAAATTAATATAGGTCCAATCTACATTCTGTAGAGTAATAATTTTTTTATATTCCACAAGAAAAAAAAAAAAAAAAATCCAGTGCCAGTGTGGTGTATATGATTAGAGGAATAAATCTTTCTGCAGTGGTCCGACCCGGAGCCTTTGGCACGTGGTCCAGTATTGTATAATTTATCTTTATTTATTTATTTATTTCGCCAACGGTGACCCTAACCGGAAAATGTTAGATTTATTATCCCAGTATTGTATAATTTATCATTATTTATTTTATTTATTTATTTATTTCGCCAACGGAAAATATTAGATTTATTTTCCTTTTTTTTTTAATATTAATTTTTTTCTCCTTGGAACGGACTTACTTTTTCGTTGACGGTGCTTTCTTTTCCCGGTCCCGGCTGCCGATTTCCCGTTTACGTCGTCCGAACTCGTCCCGTCTTCACTTCCTGAAGATGCATATTATTTTATTCTCGATACTACACTTTAGACTGATGGCCACCCCCCATCATCAAACTCACTTTTAATTTTATATTTTATTTTTCACTATAAATTTTCCGGACCACTTGCTGCAGTAAAAATTTGAACTCGTGGTGGCCTCATCTCTTCCAGCCCTATATATACCCTCTGCCTCAGCACCAGCATCACCCGATTTTTTTCCCTGATCCCTTTCTGGGTTTTTCGCCAACGGCAGAAACCTCTTTCATCTGCATCACGTAGCCGCTTGGCTCTCATTCAGCTATCGGTGTGGGTGCAGTTCCTCATGGTTTGTTGTGGGTGGAGATACTTTTGGCCCAGGGGAGGTGTTGGAAACTAAGAGCGGATTAAAGTTCTCTTTCCTGATCGTCCACCAGAGCGCCTCTTACTTTCCACACTTCCCCTCCCTTTCTTGACCCTGCCAAACTTTGAAAAACTGGTCACACTGCCATCTCCTAGGGCGATTTTCCCCTATCGATAGTTTTCAATTGCAACACCACACAAAAATTCTTGAGAATGCCGGCCGAAGCGAATTATTTGTAAACATTGAAAGATTGACTTGCCGTGAAATTGTGCCTATAGTGTTTTTAATAATCAAAACAACAACTTTGCTATCCTGCCTTGCCCCCAATTGCCCCATTTAGCCTTTTGAGCCCAACGTAGGCCTACACCCAGTAGACTCTTGTTTTGCTACCCAGGTATGTATGTAAGTTACGTGTGTACGTCTACAGCTACATCCACTATTTATATTTACATTTTTAGGTCTTTTGCGTGGAAAATCCCAACAGGCTTCCCCCCAGATCCTCCAAATCGTAGGCATTGTTCCCTATAGGGAGACCGACTCGGCATTTCACATATTTTCGAGCAAACTTGGCATTGTACATCTTTCCAAAATTGCTCTGAGTGAAATTGCGTCTGTAGTTTTCTTGGCCAGGCTTGGCATGGAAAACTCGAGCCCGTTTGTTATAGCGCTGGTTGCTGTATTCATATGCCTGATGAAGATTTTTCCGGATGTGATCGCGGATAAGTTGGCGCTTATCTACTGGATCTAGCTTCGTTATTTGATGTTCTGTCAAGGACTGCAGTTTTCTTGCCAGTCGACAATCGACACTTCTATTTCCGGTAAGTATAAGTCCAGCTATTTGGTGATCTAATACTTCCGGACATACTCCCGCACTTGTGTCGTCATAGCCGGCCAGTAGAAATGACGTTTTAGACGATGAAGTGTCTTTTTCATCCCCCCGTGTGCAGCTTTGTGATCCTCGTGCGCGTTCGCTGTAAGTGTAGATGTTATTCCTGTCGGGATCCACAGCTTCCAAATTGAGCCTTCAACTTGGTCGTCAAGATGTTCGAATGCTGTTCTTTTGAAGATTAAAGCCCCATCCACGCGTAAATCAGGCAATGTTGCATCTGATAAATCCAAACTTAACTCCGCTATGCAGCGTGACAGGGTGTCAGCAACCACGTTCTCAGTTTCCTTGCGATGCTCAATTTTAAAGTTAAAACTCTGAAGCCTTAAAGACCACCTTGCCAAACGTCCATTTAGATCCTTGAGGGACATTAGCCATTTTAGGCTTGCGTGGTCCGTGATCACAAAAAACGGCATCAGCTCCACGTAAGGCCTAAACTTTTCAACTACTAACATCGCTCCCAGACATTCTTTTTCAGTGACGGAATACAAAATCTGATGTTTATACTATTAAGCTTGGAAGAGAAGAAAGCTACGGGACGCTCTGAATTTTCGTCGTCCAACTGGAACAATACTGCTCCCACTCCATTGTTTGAGGCGTAGCATTGGATAAAGAATGGACGTTTAAAATCAGCATGGACTAATATTGGCGCTGTAGTTAGCGCCATCTTCAAGTGCTTTATGGCCCAGACAGCCTCCGGAGTCAAGGAAAACTTGCCTCTTGGATGTTTCTTGAGGACGTCGGTTAGCGGTGCTGCAATGGATGCAAAGTTTTTAATGAATCGCCTGTATCACCCTGCTGTACCTAGGAAGCTTCGTATCTCCTTTACGTTCTTCGGATCAGGATTCTTCTGTATGGCCAACACTCCACCCCAATGATAAACTCAAAGTATTTTAAAGATTTGAAACAAAATTTAGACTTCTTTAGCCCTATCGTTAAATTTGCTCGTATCAGGCATTGTGCTGACAAACGGAGAAATCGCAGATGCGTCTGGAGGCCAGGAGCTATCACCAGAAGATCGTCCAGATAGACAAATTCGTTTGATCGTAGTTGTGTTGGAATGACTTGGTCCATCAGTCGACATAATCTTTGGGCAGCATTGCAGAGACCGAAGGGCGTCATCACGAATTGGTAAAGTGGACGTCTGGCTACTGTGAAAGCGGTATACTTCCGGCTTTCCGGTTCCAATTTTATTTGCCAGAACGCAAAATTTAAGATCGACGCTAGATATATAATATGTCTGGTCGATCCTAGACAATATGCCTTCGATACTCGTGAGAGGGTAGGCGTCCTTTATGGTGAGTTGGTTAAGTTTCCGCGCGTCCAAGCAGAATCGGTTTTTATCTGGCTTTCGCACGACCGTTATTCTACTGCTCCACAGACTGTCACTAACCTCTATAACCTCTAGCTCTAGCATTTTGTCTACTTCTTTCCAGACCACTTCCTGCATCGCTGGTGATAGCGGATAACAACGATCCTTAAACGGTACTGCGCCCCCCACCAACTGGATATAGTGCTGTTCTGCTGCAGTCGTTCCTAGCCCAGCTTCTTCGTAAGTCAAAAATTCCTTCTTCACGTTTTCCAACTTCTCAGCTTCATTCTTTTTCAGGTCCCAAGTTCTACCTCCGTTTCTTGTCTTCTATCTTCCGCATAGTGGCTGATCTCGGACATCTTGACTTCAGCTACTTGGGCGTGACTGGATTCGCTGTTTTCGTCGCCTAGAACTGCTGGAGCCAACTCAAAAATCTCCAGATATCGATACCCAAGTACATCGATTGTTCCAGGTACGGGCATATGTAGAAGTGAATGTCTTCTACAATCCCCTTGTATCCAACAGGAAGCTATATTTTTCCAATTATAGATCTGTCTTCGCGACGAACACATATCCTTCCATCTCTACCCCGAGTTCGGCCATCAGTTCCCTACTGTCTTCGCCCAGTAGACTTACAGAGGCTCCTGTATCCAGCAGTCCCGCAATCTTCCGGCCGTAAAACTCGGACTGATTCGCCACCTACTTGCGCGTTTGTCGCAAGCGTGAACGGGTCTTTAGAACCCTGCGGCTGACTCCCCGCATACCTGCAAGCTGTCTGGCGTCGAAAATCCTGTTTCCGACTTCCCTATATCTTTTCATTCTTTCCTCGGCTGGTAGAAACCTTAACTTATTAATACCTAATATATTTTGTTTATTAATAATATGTTGATCATTTACTTCAAGCTTATCATCTACTTCGATTCAGGTTTCTAGCCTAAGCGTTGCTCACCTGATTTCGTCACGCTTGGTCGGCTTGGGTTGGGTACGTTCAATGGTCCCATTGCCTCGGTAACGGCAATAATCATTTCCATATCGCCGGATTTCCTCTTGCAAAGATCGGCTTATGGACTCCATCATTCCTCCTCGTTGCGTCTCCTGAGCCTTGGCTAAGGCCACATTGACAGGCGATGTGATTTCTGATGGCAGGACTTTCGATGCTACTGGCAAATTCCAGCTGTCATCGTCTCCCTCTTGTTGCTCTTTCCGAGGATTCCCTGGCGGAGGAGTCCTGCTTACCTGCTTTGACCTTAAAAAATACTTTCTCATAAGCTTTTTCTAATCTATCTCTACTTAGATGTTTTATTAATATTTATCTTTTGATTATTATAGTTTTGAACCGGCTGCGCATCAACAATTCACAATGACACCTCGAACAAAAATAACTACAATTAAACTACAACAGGGAAGGAAAAACTCAACCCGGAGCCAACTTAACCCCCGGATTTCAGTGCCTTCAATTACCAGCACAAGTTTCTCGGTGAGCGCTGTTGATCATCCCATCTTCCATAGAAAACTAAGAGTCAAGGGCGCTCGCCACTCTATTATCTGTACTTCCCACTTACTTACATCACTGTATGATTTTTCTAGGAGTGACGAACCGCCCTAAGTGCAACGCGTGGCCGACTTTTCTGGTTCCCACGGGCCACTCACAGTCGAATCCCCACATCCTGACCTCATCACGGGTAAGTAAGACAAGTTTTCCCTATTTTGGCTATATCTGACTCCGGCTATTACTGTGCTCTATTTTCCAGGCGCTCGGTGTGTGCTCTAGCACACCAGGCATCGGTATAGTCGCTAACTAGCCGAAGAAATTTTTCCTGCTAGTGCCGAACCACCCTTACCGAGCTCCCATTTCCGTTTGTCAGATAAGTACCAATCTCTTTAAACAAAAAAAATCTAACACTTACTTTAGGGTATCTTTGCTTCCAGATCCCCCCGCACCGCGTTACTATGAGCCGACCATCAGGTAATGATAATGTTACACATTGGACGTTACTGGAAACCTTACTTGCGCTGGACAAATTGGAGTTTATGTGATGTACTCCGACACCCCCACCATACCTGAGATCTGGCATGCATCCTTCACCAAATCTCCCGTCAGCCTACTCCAGGGTCAGTCTCATTTCCCCCTCCCCATAGACACACACTTAGCACAGGGTATTCCTCACGTTACAATTTTATTATTAACTATAAACATTCATCTTCATTTCTTGCATTCAATAACTTCAGTTAATTTATTATTTAATTTTTCATAAGGTTTTGTTTTGTTTATGTAAATGTATTTTTTTCTTTGTTTCCCTAAATTTTAATTATATCAAATTTTTTCCTTTACTTACAGGTACTACTTATAATATTTTGAAAAGGTATATATAGATATATGGTAATAAACAATGTATGATACATGCATGTGGGATAGATAAGTTAAAAGGTGACTAAATATTTCAATACATCAACACATAAATTTAGACTAAGGTGGACGAACGAATTTTATTTCAATTACTCGGGACGAAATTTTATATAATATTAAGAGGGAATTTAATTTAATTTCATTTACTTAAAAACTATTTTTAAGTCTTTCATTAATGCTGCGTTCATAAATTAATATAGGTCCAATCTACATTCTGTAGAGTAATAATTTTTTTATATTCCACAAGAAAAAAAAAAAAAAAATCCAGTGCCAGTGTGGTGTATATGATTAGAGGAATAAATCTTTCTGCAGTGGTCCGACCCGGAGCCTTTGGCACGTGGTCCAGTATTGTATAATTTATCTTTATTTATTTATTTATTTCGCCAACGGTGACCCTAACCGGAAAATGTTAGATTTATTATCCCAGTATTGTATAATTTATCATTATTTATTTTATTTATTTATTTATTTCGCCAACGGAAAATATTAGATTTATTTTCCTTTTTTTTTTAATATTAATTTTTTTCTCCTTGGAACGGACTTACTTTTTCGTTGACGGTGCTTTCTTTTCCCGGTCCCGGCTGCCGATTTCCCGTTTACGTCGTCCGAACTCGTCCCGTCTTCACTTCCTGAAGATGCATATTATTTTATTCTCGATACTACACTTTAGACTGATGGCCACCCCCCATCATCAAACTCACTTTTAATTTTATATTTTATTTTTCACTATAAATTTTCCGGACCACTTGCTGCAGTAAAAAACTCGTGGTGGCCTCATCTCTTCCAGCCCTATATATACCCTCTGCCTCAGCACCAGCATCACCCGATTTTTTTCCCTGATCCCTTTCTGGGTTTTTCGCCAACGGCAGAAACCTCTTTCATCTGCATCACGTAGCCGCTTGGCTCTCATTCAGCTATCGGTGTGGGTGCAGTTCCTCATGGTTTGTTGTGGGTGGAGATACTTTTGGCCCAGGGGAGGTGTTGGAAACTAAGAGCGGATTAAAGTTCTCTTTCCTGATCGTCCACCAGAGCGCCTCTTACTTTCCACACTTCCCCTCCCTTTCTTGACCCTGCCAAACTTTGAAAAACTGGTCACACTGCCATCTCCTAGGGCGATTTTCCCCTATCGATAGTTTTCAATTGCAACACCACACAAAAATTCTTGAGAATGCCGGCCGAAGCGAATTATTTGTAAACATTGAAAGATTGACTTGCCGTGAAATTGTGCCTATAGTGTTTTTAATAATCAAAACAACAACTTTGCTATCCTGCCTTGCCCCCAATTGCCCCATTTAGCCTTTTGTGCCCAACGTAGGCCTACACCCAGTAGACTCTTGTTTTGCTACCCAGGTATGTATGTAAGTTACGTGTGTACGTCTACAGCTACATCCACTATTTATATTTACATTTTTAGGTCTTTTGCGTGGAAAATCCCAACAGGCTTCCCCCCAGATCCTCCAAATCGTAGGCATTGTTCCCTATAGGGAGACCGACTCGGCATTTCACATATTTTCGAGCAAACTTGGCATTGTACATCTTTCCAAAATTGCTCTGAGTGAAATTGCGTCTGTAGTTTTCTTGGCCAGGCTTGGCATGGAAAACTCGAGCCCGTTTGTTATAGCGCTGGTTGCTGTATTCATATGCCTGATGAAGATTTTTCCGGATGTGATCGCGGATAAGTTGGCGCTTATCTACTGGATCTAGCTTCGTTATTTGATGTTCTGTCAAGGACTGCAGTTTTCTTGCCAGTCGACAATCGACACTTCTATTTCCGGTAAGTATAAGTCCCAGTCTCTATGATCATATTCTAAATACGTTCTAATTGCAGTTTTGATTCCTTGCATTTGGTGCAATTCCGGACATACTCCCGCACTTGTGTCGTTATAGCCGGCCAGTACAAATGACGTTTTAGACGATGAAGTGTCTTTTTCATCCCCCCGTGTGCAGCTTTGTGATCCTCGTGCGCGTTCGCTGTAAGTGTAGATGTTATTCCTGTCGGGATCCACAGCTTCCAAATTGAGCCTTCAACTTGGTCGTCAAGATGTTCGAATGCTGTTCTTTTGAAGATTAAAGCCCCATCCACGCGTAAATCAGGCAATGTTGCATCTGATAAATCCAAACTTAACTCCGCTATGCAGCGTGACAGGGTGTCAGCAACCACGTTCTCAGTTTCCTTGCGATGCTCAATTTTAAAGTTAAAACTCTGAAGCCTTAAAGACCACCTTGCCAAACGTCCATTTAGATCCTTGAGGGACATTAGCCATTTTAGGCTTGCGTATTTTTCTGTCGACAATATTCTCGAAAATATTTGAATAAATACTATTTAAGAGGATATTGCTCTGTGGTAATCGGAGTTTCACATTTGTCAAAAATTCCAACGGTTTCCAGCGGAAAGAGGGCATAAGAAGACTCAAAAGTATTCAACAAACTAAAACAATGTTTTACATAAATTATGTAATTCGTGTGCCGGCTGGCTAGACTTCCGTGACGGAGTGAATCCGGCTGGATCTACGTCCGTGGCTGAATTATGTAATTCGTGAGTCGGCTGGCTAAACTTCCGTGTCGGGGCTGAAGTCGTCTGGCTATACGTCCGTGGCTGGGGGGTCGGTAGACCGTAGTTGCCGCTAGTGGTCGTAGCCGCCATTGATATAGAAGGAAGCGGTTGGCCTGTGACATCAACTGTAGAAATACGTCTATTAGGGATTTCACCCGCTGGCCTTAAGACTCATTCGAGGTATAAAATTAAAAAGTCGATAACGGAGTTCATTTGAATACCAAAGTGAACTAAAATTAAGTTGACAAAAACTAAAACGTATGGCCGGATGCTTGTGGCATTTTCGCTGACCAAGCACAAAATTGCTAAAGTCATGCGATCGCTGGCCACCAATAGCACGGCCCATAGCGGTGCACTTTGCGGTCTCAGAACTTGGCCACCATAAAGGTGGTACAATATTAGGGGGGCCATACGTGAGATACATTGGTATAATATATATTGCTTATTAAGTGACATATAAAAGTGTAAAATGATAAATAAAGACATGAAACTGGATAAATAAAATCTAAAATTGATCTGCCTAGCTTACGCTCCCAGCTGGTTGTTAACTACTTCCACATTAAGTTTGTCGCCGTCCTCGGTGATTGTCAATGGCCTTCTGCAACTTGAAAGATGCTAGTTTCCGACTCGAGCGTTGTTGGAAACCGCGCAATGTAAGGCTAACCGCGACTCCTACGGCGAACCAAATCTTCGGAGATCCCCCGGCCGACAGGTCGTCTTTAAGCTGCTGCATAAGGCGCAGGTTGTGTTCGTTCATCCGCTGCAGTAACGGAAGGCTTAGTATATTGTCATGCCCCGTGATATTGAGTAGGGGTGAGGCCGGGATCCCCGGACTCTTATTAACCGTGTTGTTGAGGCTTAGGTAGACAGAGTCGTTTATGATCGCTTTCCTCTCGAAAGTGATGAGATGGGCCCTTTTATGGTAGTATAGGATCTTCTTACAAATAAGCTTAACCTTAGGATACTATACTACAATATGACTAACAACGTTAGAATGGAAAATTTTAATTTTAGGAATATCCATGAGACTAACTATGGGGACCTCAGCAATCTGCTCGTCAAAGATAGCCTTTAGGTCGTTATGGTTGAATATAGTAGGATTTATACCGTTATTTTTAGCGAGGGTAATAGTGAGCATACAATTTTGGATTTTGGAGATAAGCATTCTATTTCGGGCAGGGAGTGTTTCGAACAAATGTCTGAGTCAACAAGCCCGTCCTTTTTTCCTTGAGGATCCTATTGACTGTGTCTGTGAGTAAGTTAATGTGTTTTTGTGTTTCTGTGTTAATAACAACCTGCCTAACAATATTAGCCTCAATAAGCGATGCCTGATTGGTATAATTCTACAACCCGCCACGACCTAAGGGACTGAGCCCAAAAAATCAAGGCTCCTGGCCATCCTGTGGTCTATCCTGAGCTCATCCAAAATATTCTGGGCATGTCGACTTCCAGCAGCCTCCTCATGTGGGATTCTGGGAACAGTTCGAGCATTCTGACCTTGGAGTCCATTATGCTAGAAAATTCGGACAACTTTGTCGAGTGCCTAACCAGGCCATACTGTTTCCATACACCGGGATGTATAAAATTTCGCATGCGAGAAGTCGGTGATCCGCGCACTTGAGATGGCCAGCAGCTCGACAGATGTTACGGCAAGCCTGTGGAAATTATAGCGAGTATTCCGTGTTAAGATAAGGGCGAATGAGGCAGATAAAATGCCTATCTGATGGTGTCCTTATGGACCACCCTTCCCCTAATGAGAACAGATGTTCCCAGATCTGCTTCCACACGCTCTTCCGAATAAAGCGGCGTCAACTTGTTCCCTTATCTCATGTTGTTACGTAGGTGTACTTTTTCACTAACTTTATTTTAATTGCCAGTTTGATCTCGTCTCTGATGTCGTGGATGA